TTGCGTGGGCGGGTTATTTGCGTGGGCGGGTTATATGGGTGAAAATACGGTACTCTCTGGAAAAAATACTCTGGGGGTAAGACACCCTAACACCCTGTGTTCTGTTATGATACAGACTGTTGTGCCTTAAAATGACTTCTACTGTACTGCTGTAAAATGGCTTCTACTATACAGCACAGTGGAGTTGCCATGGTAATGGCTTCACAGTACTACACAAGGGGACTCCCTCTGGTTAAGTGGGAAAATCCAACATCAGAAATTACGTTTGGTCTGGACATTTTCTCCCTATAAATAAATACCTGGGCAACGCAGTATCAGCTAGTCTATGATAAAATCCAGTCTGTCAATTACACATGATCTAACTATACTAAAATTACAATCCATAAACTGTGAATTATAACCATTCATTTAGTGACTGTTTTAAATTACAACAGCACTGTTGCAAAAAGTGAGTTACAACTAATCTTCAAATTTACAACCACTGCAGCATCTCCACAGTCACGTGATCAAAATTTTGAGCATTTGGCAACTGGCGTGTATTTACCACAGTTACAGTGTCCCCTGGTCACACAATCTCTATTGCTTCCGATATGCAAAATCAATGGGGCAAGCTGGATTCCTATGATTCACTTAACAACTGCAGTGATTCACTTAACAGCCATGGCAAAAAAGATCATGAAATCAACCACAACTCACTTAACTTGCTTAGCAATGTAAATTCTGGTCACAACTGTGGTCGTAAGTTGAGGACTGCCTATAGCTTGTCAGCCCCTATCCCAAGTATCGTGGTGAGTTCAAGTGGAAAACAACCATGTGAATGGCGGAGGGATGCTAGTTGATGCTACTTGTTATGCTCTGCAACCAGTTGGGTATTTTCCAGAACAATAGCAATAGAACTTAGACTTATATCCTGCTTCACAGTGCTTTACAGTCCTCTCTAAGTGGTTTCGAGTTAGCATATTGCCCCCCCAAAAATTTGGGTCCTCATTTTACTAATCTTCAAAGGCTGAATCAACCTTTAGCTGGTCAAGATTGCACTCCGGGCAGTGGACAGAGGCAGCCTGCAATACTGCATTCTAACCACCAGGGCCTTGAATTAAGCTGTGGGGTACTGAGATTCAATATAGATCAGCTTCAAAAGGTAGAGGGATTTTTTTAGGTTTATGCGATAGTGTTGAAGAACCCTGACTTTCTGTCTATGGAGATTCTGTCTATGATATCTGCCTAGATTTCTATCTATGGACATTCCTTGACTTTCTCTTCACTCTACTCTGGTCTTTTTACATCTCAGTGGCAGCTTACCTGAAAATTCCCCACTAACGAAGCACCAAAGACACAAAGTAAGCCCAAAATAAGCCCAAGAAGATTCAGACGGGAGTGATAGCCATAATCGCGGACTTGTCTGTACTTTAGAAAGCAGATCACCATACCTGAAAATAACAATGGGATAAGATTTCTATCATTTTTGTTTGTCAGACACATTTATAGCTTAATATTCTGATCCACTGTTGTTAGACACATCCCCAAAAGAATCTACTGCTCTTTACATAGGTCAGCATAAACCCCTCCCTTTCTTTCTNCAAATCTTTCTGGAAGACACAGCCTTTCTATTTTCTACATAGTTAAATATACTCAATATAATATTAACGCTGCATACAAATGCACCAGACCTGCTATGATCTGAGAGAGAAAAAAAAGAGGAAAGATTCTTCTGTGAACAAAATAGGAACCAAAAATTTTACATTTATTAATTTTCCATCACAAAAAAACTGAAATTGGGCCAAGAAAGATTATTATGCTGTAAATACAGCAATTAAAATAAAAATTGTCAGGGAGGAAGATAGAAACGTTTGCCCCCTTTGTAGTAAAGTATAATTTAGGCAAAGTTTAAAAAAAAAAAAAAGGAAGAGGGAAGCTTTGGATTCTCAGATCTGCCCTTCTAATGGGATAATTCAACTTCATTAAATATTAGGAAAGCAAGTTCCTTTTTTATCAGAGGAAGGACACTGGAAGTTGTTAACTTCTAGGAGATATAAAGAAACTGGATTCACTCTGACCAATATAAATCTAGTGTAGATATACACATTTTAAGAAGTTGGATATTTTAAGAAACTGGATAGTATCATTATCTTGCATGTCTGAAAGAAACAATTCATGCATATGTAGGTATAACTATCCTGTAGGTTTTAACTATTTAAACCGGTTTTAGAAGATAAGTGCATTTAGTTTAGTAACAAGATCTACTCTGCAAAATGGTTGTGCAGCATTGTGGCTGCTTTCTTCATTTGTTCTCATCCATGGCTCTGCTGGCAGTGATGGAAGAGGAGGAAAAATATTCATTTTTATCTATACTAAGGAATCAATAATCCTACTAGGAAAGGAAAAAACAAGGCTTCCTCACTTTTCAGTTTGTAACAAATTCTTCCATCAAGCTGGTTTGGGCAGCTGAGTTGGCCAGTTGAGAACTTACTAGCAGAAAATTAAATAGATTTTTTTAAAAAAAAAATCTATTTAAAAAACAAAAGAACAAATGCAGGAGATGACAAATAGATCTTCCAATGAAAGGCACTGGGGCTAACTTCCCTGTCAGGAAAAAAAAAAGGCTGAATCCTTATAAAGGACACCTAGGATACATCTCCTCTACCACAGAATTATATGGATCCAAAGGATGGCCAGATAAGAAGACTTTTCAAATAAAAATAATAATAGGTCAGGCAATGTTTTGGGTTCTCTTTCCCTCACAGCCAAATGTTAAGGACCTGATGCAGTGTTTTTCCACCAAAAAAAAGCAGGCTTGGTGCATAGACAATTTCATCAAGACGCCACCTTCTTCTGAGGAACGAGATGAATCAGAGCGAAAGAGTTTGTACCGATATCTGCACACTCGGGAAATTCTCCTCTGGATACCGGGGCTGTAAATGGATCGAGCATCCGCCGATGTGCTGGAAATCCACCGCAAAAAGTCCAAACAGCAGGAAGAGGTCTATGGCCAGGGCCCATTCGCAGTAGGCCGCCTCAGAATGCAGTTGCAGGAAAAACAGAGCAACAGCTGAAGTTGAAGAGTCAAGGCATCATAACTAGTAGAGTTAAATTTACCATAGAGTTGGAGACGGAGAGGTATATTCCAGGAATAGCTTGATGGGAAATGGAGGAGGATGGTCTTTTGGGGGAAAACACAAACGGTTTTCACAACTGTCTAGCTAAGCCATGGATAGGTAACGCATAGGTTGCCTATAACCCTCAGGCCCTCTTTTGGGCTCCAAGATTATACAGGTAGTCCTCGAGGTACGACCAAAACTGAGCCCAAAATTTCTGTTGCCCAGTGAGAAATTTGAAAGTTTTGCTCCATTTTAAAACCTTTCTTGCCATGGTTGTTAATTGAATTAAATTAGTAACACGGTTGTTAAGTGAATCTGGCTTTCCCATTGATTTTGCTCGTCAGAAGGTTGCAAAAGGTGATCACGTGATCCCGGGACACTGCAACCATCATAAATATGAATCAGTTGCCAAGCATCTGAATGTTGATCATGTGAACTTAGGGGTGCACAATGGTCATAATTGTGAAAAACATTCTTAAGTCCCTTTTTTCAGTGCCATTGTAACTTTGAACGGCCACTAAATAAATGTTGTAGGTCGAGGACTACCTGTACCACCAAAACCGACAGCAAATTTCAGCAACCCGGTTCTTAGCACTTTCTGAGGAAATGTCCACGCATTAAAAAAAAAAGTAAAAATATTTTTAACCAGATTCATCCTCATCCTCCTCCTCCTCCCTGAAAATCAGGGCCCCCAAATTTGGATCGCAGCCCTTACAAAGATGTCAACCATCACTATCCTCAAAGGTGAAAAAATTTCAAAATGTTAAAGTGTTCTTTTCACAGCTATACGTTTGTTTATGTCTGTGGAAAACTATCTTAAGCAAGCCAGAAATGGCTGGATTCAGTTAACACTTCTGTAAACTACCCCTACTACAATCTACAAGACCTGGAGTTCATGATTAAAAAGTAAACCATAATGTCAGTGTTGGGTTGCCAATTTTTTTACTACCGGTTTGGGCGCGCTCCCGCATGCGCAGAAGCATCTGGGTGGGTTGGTGGAGCCTCCCACTGCTGCAACTCCTGGTTCTCCCGATCTGGGCCGAACCGGGAGCAACCCACCTCTGCATAATGTGGATTGGTTGGTACTAAAGCAAGGCCAGATTACAGTGAGAACCTATCTATTCCTTAAAAAAATAAATAAACTCAATTGCATTTAGGTAGTCTAGTCAAATGAGCAAGACTCGCCCTTTTCCAGCTTCCCAAGGATATATCTGCTTGTTCAAGGCAGAAATTGCTATGTTCTATAGTTTTCCCTCTGGTCCCTTGACTAGGGGGCGCTGTCCTCGCTCTTGATTGGTTACCTATTTGACAGCCGGCATATATAAAGAGCTATCAAACAGGGCTCAGCTGTTGCCAGTTAGCTGAGACGCGCGAATTGTGAAGTGCCGTGTTTGGCAACCTGTTAGCATTAAACTGTTAGCCTTTTGAAGTCGTGGCTCGCCTCCGTTTTGTCCGCCTGCGTTCTCCTAGCTAGAACAGAAATGATTTTGCTCACGGCCTTCTTGCGGCCGGAGGAACAGGTCATCTGGCTAAATGGGAAAACAAATGTACAAGACTATGGGTTTAAGGGACATATCAGGGTCCTGACAGGGTTACTTTCTTACTCCAGCCCTGGGGAAAGTGTTTCATTTTGCTTCTCATCTGGGAAGCTTCTTCAATCTGAAGAAACTTGTCAGACGAGACGCAGAATGACTTCAAGGAAAAACAAAGGAAGTCCAGCTCCCATTTGAAAAAAAGCACCTTTGGGACGTTCCCTAAGGATCTGAAGACTTCTCTGATCTTGCAACTCTCCCTGAAACATGTTTGGAGAAAATCTCATGAGGCTGGCCTCTCTTCCAAACCAGCGGTGGGCTTCAAAAATTTCAGCAATGGGTTTTCTGCCTGGTTTCTGGGTGGCCGTGGCCTAGACGGCATCCTGCACCACAGTGGGGGAGGGGGGCGTTTTCTCTGAGAGGGTGAAAACTGCCTCCCCCAGGCTCCAGAGGCTCCAGAACTTCCGGGAAGCCCATTTGCCCCCCTCCCCTGAGCCTCCGTGTGGGACCTGCACTTACCTCGCATCCAAAACAGGCCGCGTGGAGACTCCGGGGAGGGGAGGGGCAGGGTGGGCAGGGCCAGCCAGGGGTGGGATTTGGAGGTTCTCTGAACTGGCCATAACGTTAGCTACGGGTTCTCCTGAACTCGGGCGAACCTTTAGCAGCCCACCCCTGTATCCAAACCAATCTTAGGGCAATAGTAATAAGGATTTTACCTCTCCTGATCCTTCAACCCTGAAGAATGCTAGCTCCAGCTCCACCTTCTCTTCCCTGACACTCCTATTCCAGAACTGTAGTTCCTCCCCCCCCACCCACCGACCCACCGCTTTGCTCCAGCTGTACCGATCTCTTATTCAGGATACTGGAAATAAACAAGATGGAACCACACAAGCTAAGAAAGAACCGGAGTGGTAGAATCCATGATCCTCCATGTCTTGGTTTCACTTTGTGGGTCAGAAAGGTTTGGATCCAGAAGTAAAGGTTGCCAATCACAAAAGCCAAGAAGGCTCCTGTCACATGGACTTCCAGTTGGTTATACTGCTGCAACAGAGGGAAACACAGAAGGGTAACATCATGTCTTTAGATGGTGAGAAATAACATAATAGGTAGAACATAATTATATAGATTGTGCAATCAAATAACAGCTAGTCCAGGACTTACAATGGAGCTTAAAACTTCTCTTATTAAGTGAGACATCTATTAAGTGAATTTTGCCCCATTCTATGAACTTTTCCCCCACAGTTGTTAAGTGAATTGCTGCAGTTGTTAAGCTAGTAACACGGTTATTAAGTGAATCTGGCTTCATCACTGACTTTGCTTGCAGAAATGTCTCAAAATGTGGTCACATGACCCCGGGACACTGCAACGGTATTAAATATAAGTCAGTTGCTAAGCATTCTAAGCATTAGAGCCGAGGTGGCGCAGTGATTAGGGTGCAGTACTGAAGGCCACTACAGCTGACTGTTATCTGCAGTTCAGTGGTTCTA